CAGCTGGCAACCACTGCTGCCGGCGTGGCTGGGAGTTCTGCCGTGGGCCGCACTCTGGGTCACACCATCACGGGGGGCTTCAGTGGAGGAAGCAGTGCTGAGCCCTCAAGGCCTGAATCACTTTCCAGGAGGCTCAGGGAACCCAGCCGGCACAGCTGCAGCAGAATGGCCCCTGCTTCTATGAGGTGAAACAGTTTTTAGAGTGTGCCCAGAGCCAGGGTGACCTTAAACTTTGTGAGGGTTTCGTCAAGGTGCTGAAACAGTGCAGATTGGCCAATGGATTAGCTTAATCAAAAAGTGCCAAATGAAGACATGAAAGATCACCTCTCATGACCATGTTGATTTAGCAATTAAAGTAAAATTAATAGTGAAGATAAGAAATGTGAGACCACCTGTTAAACTTCTCCTTAATCTTTATTAGCTTTTGTGCTTCAGGATTACAGTGTATTATATACAGTGTATTATAGGGTATTGCCACTATACAGAAGTTCATTGAGATGGTATTGAGTTTGGGGTTGGGCAGAAGAGGCAGTTGTGGACTCTTAAATGTACTTTTCTGATGTTATTGTTTGTGAACTAATTAGAATAAAGTGATTTTCTTTCTAAAAAAAAAAATACTAAAGTGGATTGCCATGCCCTTTCTGCAGGGAATCTTCCCAACCCAGGAATCAAACCCTGGTCTCCCTCATTTCAGGCAGATTCTTTACCATCTGAGCCACCAGGGAAGCCCAGACAAAACTTGGGTGTATCCAGTAAGCCTCAAGTGAAGTGGTCTGTGATGTCTTTTTTGTTTTTTGTCCACACTGAGCAGTATGTGGAATCTTAGTTCCCGAACCAAAGATTGAACCCAAGCCCCCTTCAGTGGAAGCATAGGGTTTTAACCCCTGGACGTCCAGGGAAATCCCAAATCTTGTTATTTTTAATGTGTGGCCATTCAGAATAATTGCCCTGGGCGTGCAGTGTGCAGAAACAGGATGAGTATTGATAATATCATGGGAATGGGAACAGGGAGCACAGAGCTAAAACTTCCAGCTCTTCTCAGGGGTTCGATGGTGTAAGAAACAGTACAGTCAGGTAGAAATCGTGGCTGTGTGCCAGAACCACCAGGCCTGTCTCATCTCTGGATCTGCAAACCTTTAAGGAAAGTGCCCCCTGATTCCCATCTCCATAGACCAGGGAGTTGAGAGGACAAGGGAGCATGAAGAATAAAAATATTAATGACCAAGAAAAATGACTGTGCAAGAGATTACATATTTTGCAAAGTTTTTTCTTTAGTGCATTTTAAAATAAATTTCACATAAAATGTAACCTCCTTGCCCCCCAGTCATCTCCCCACCAGTGTCTGCAGCTCACCATGCACCAAGTTTGGGGAGCAGGCTTGCACTCTGCCCTCATCTCTCCGGCTGTGGAATTTCTTGGGGGGCCCCTCCTGATCTTACACATCACTGGGCTTGGCAAGAGGGTTGGGGTCCTAGTTCCTGGTGTTGGTATTTGAGACTCCCCCCACACCCGCCATACCCCATCTACCCCATCCAGATGTCCTTGTCTCCAGGTGACCTTGATACACCCTCTTTGGGGAGCAATTTGAACTTATCTGTCAGTGAGGGGGGGCTTCCCAGGTGATGCTAGTGGTACTGTAAAGAACCTGCCTGTCAATGCAGGAGACATAAGAGACGTGGGTCTGATTCCTAGGTTGGGAGGATCCCCTGGAGGAAGGCATGGCAACCCACTCCAGTATTCTTGCCTGGAGAATCCCATGGACAGAGGAGCCTGGCGGGCTACAGTCTATGGGGTCTCAAAGAGTCGGCCATGACTGAAGTGACTTAGCACACAGCACATCAGTGAGCAGAGACCTGCCTTTCCTGGACACTGTCTAGAGCAACTGCAGTCGACAGGGCAGGGAGCTGGGACAGTGTGGGTAGCAAGGTCAAGGTGACTGGAGAAAGAAATCCTGCGGCCGCTGCAGGAGATGCAAGAACTCACCTCTGGGGACTTCCCCTGGTGCTCCTGGAACCGTTCACCTCTGACTGGGGCTTGAACCTGTCGAATCAGGCTAGAACTCACGGTCTTCCAACTAAGATCACAGCACCTGGTTTAAGGACTTGATGAAGCTTGGGTTCTTGATGTCTCATCGCAGGAAGAATTCAGTGAGAGACAAAGCGAGGCAAGAAGTAGATTTATTAGTATAGGATGCCTGGAAGAGATGCAGGTGGGCAAGCGAGGGAGCTCTGCCCTGAGGATGAATTGGGCTGCAATTTTGGAGTCAAAGGAGAGGGGACGGGGAAGACTGTCTCCCTCGAGTAGACGTGGGGCTTACATCACTAGCTCTTCCTTCATTTCGGGCGGGAGAACATCTGACCCTCTGAGGTCAACTCAGAACATTGTGATGCTTGTTCAAATCAGTGAAGGGCGGTGGGGCTTCCCAGGTGGCACTCAGCTCAGGTCAGTCGCTCAGTTGGGTCTCCCCGTCCATCACCAACTCCCAGGTGGCGCTAGTGGTAAAGAATCTGCCTACCAATGCCGGAGACTCCAGAGACACGCGTTCAGTCCCTGGGTAAGGAAAATTCCCTGGAGGAGGAAATAGCAACCTGCTGCGGTATTCTTGCCTGGAAAATTCCGTGGGCAGGGGGGCCTGGCGGGCAACAATCCATGGGGTCACAGAGTCAGACGTGACTGAGCATATATACATACATAAGAGGGTGGTGACATTTTTCTTCCACCTAATGGCCTCGGGCGTATCTCATGCTTTTATTTTTGGCTTTATAGTTAAGCATGCTGTTTCATTCCACAACATTCCAATAGCTTACATGAGTGATCATTAACTTACAGTAATCTCCCAAAAGTTCCTAGGGTTCCCTCTCTACTCTATCCATAGTCCCCTCCTGGAACTTCCATAGTCACCTGTATAACTATCCTATTCTGTCCCTATCAGTCCAGTGGTTAGGACTCCACACTTCCACTGCCATGGGCCTGGGTTCGATTCCTAGTCGGAGAACTAAGATCTCAGAAGCCATGTGGCATGGCAAAAAAACCCCAAAAACCATAAAAACTCACCTCTAGTGAATCCCACAAGTATTAACTATCCAACTCTCTGTGACACTTTGGACCATGGCCCACCAGGCTCCTCTGTCCATGGAATTCTCCAGGCAAGAATATTGGAGTGGGTTGCCACCTCCTTCTCCGGGGAAATTTTCTGGGTCTGCTATGCACTGGGCCCTGTGCCAATCTCGAGGAAGAAGCCCAGTCATAAGCACGCCACAATGAGATCTGAAGAAAACCCCTATGTTTCCCCAGAAAAGTACACCTGTGGTGGCCCATCAATAGCCCGCTTTTCCAGATATGTATTTGTTTGCAGGCGTGCGTACTCAGTCATGCCTGACTCTTTGCAACCCCATGGACTTCAGCCCACCAGGCTCCTCTGTCTGTGGGATTCTCCAGGCGAGAATACTGGAGTGGGTTGCCATTTCCTCCTCCAGGGGACTTTCCCAACCCAGGGAGCGAAACTGCATCTCTTGTGCCTTCTGAATTGGCAGGTGGACTCTTTACCACTGAGCTAACCTGGAAAGCCCCATTTATTTATGTAAATATATGTATATAATATATGTATATCCATATGTGTATATATGCATATAGATTTTTTCCACTATTGGTTGTTACAAGATATTGAATATAGTTTCCTGTGCTATACAGTAGGTCCTTATTGTTTGCCTGTTTAATATATAGTAGTTTGTGTATGTTAATCCCAAACTCCTAATTTATCTTTTTCCTTGACCCCCCCATCCCCTTTGGTAACCAAAAGTTTTTATCTATGTTCGTGAGTCTGTTTCTGTTTTGTAAATAAGTTCATTTGTGTCATTTCTTTTTAGAGTCCAGATAAGCAATAAGATCACATCACTTATATCATACAATATTTGTATTTCTCTGTCTGGCTTACTTCACTTAACATGGTAATCTCTAGGTCCATCTACATTGCTGCAAATGATGTTATTTTATTCTTTTTTATGGCTGGTTAGTATTCCGTATATATACATATATATAATACACACGTCTTCTTTATCCATTCATCTCATGATGGACATTTAGATAGTTTCTATGTCTTAGCTATAGTGAATAGTGCTGCTATGAACATTGGGGTCATCACAGCCCATTTTTGTTTATAATCCATGATGTTCTTACACTTCTTCATTCCTGAGATGGTTAGAGACTCTCTAATGAGTTGGGTCCATCTGTAGATATGTTGGACCCTGATATGTACCATGCACCAAGATCATAAATAATTCTTACAGGTATAACAAAGGAAGACCATAATAACAAACAGTAAAAATAATAGTAGTAATGGCAGCCAATATTATCTGAGCACTTATGATATGCTAAGCATTGCAGCATTGCTTGAAACTCTTCAGTGTGAATTAGTTCCTTCAATTATTACAGCTACCTGCTGAAGTAAATACATCATTATCCCCATTTTACAGATGAGAGAACTGAGTCAAAGAGAGGTTAAGTGACTTCCCCAGGGTCACACATGTGCTTAGTCACTTCAGTCCTGTCTGACTCTTCACGACCCCATGGCCTGCTAAGCTCCTCTGTCCATGGGATTCTCCAGGCAAGAATACTGGAGTGGGTTGCCATGCCCTCCTCCAGGGGAATCTTCCTGACCCGGGGATTGAACCTGCGTCTCTTGAGTCTCCTGCATTGGCAGGCAGGTTCTTTACCACTAACGCCACCTGGGAAGCCCAAGGTCACACAGGGAGGGTTCAAATCCAGGAGCCTAGCCTCAGAGGCCACAGCACCGTGCTGCCACCCACAGAGATGCTGAGAGAATGGGTGGAGAAGGGGCTGAGGGAGGAGCCTTGGGGTGGATGGCACAGGTGCCTTCCTGCTCTGCTGTGAGTCAGAAGCCCTGCTTACTTTCTGAGGACAGGTCAGCTTACCCCCAGAGATTGTGTTATCCCTGCAGCCCGGACCTAAGACCACAGCATTTCCTCTGCTTTTGCTTCCAGGAGCTGGAGAAGCTAGGGCTTGGGGACAGCGTGGATCTGCATGTGTATGAGATTCCAGTGGAGTATCAGACAGTCCAGAGGCTCATCCCTGCCTTGTGGGAGAAGCACAGTCCCCAGGTAAGCAGGGCAACGGTGAGTGGGGTAAAGGTAGGTGCTTCCCTATCAGGATCTGCGGCTGGTTGCCCCAGGCATGGATGGTCTGTGTGGCTTTATTTCTGTTCTGATCACATGGTTGATGGCCACAGCCTTATCCCCCCCAAGTGCCACACTTTTCTGGGTTACCCTTGGAGGTGAGAGAGGAAAGCAAACATCTGAAACTTCACAGAGGCTGATTCTGTCCCACTAGAGTTCTGTATCAGTCATAACATGTTCCGTTATAAGTGACAGTCAAAACATACCTCAACCCAGCTTGAGCATCAACATTTGTGTGCTTCAGGTATAGCTTGATCCAGGTGCTCACCCAGTGTCATCAGCCTCCTCTCTTGACCACTCATCTTTGCTTTGCACTTTGCTTTTGTTTTGGCAATGATAGGTGGCTGCTGACTGATAATCCTCCCAACTCAGCCCCTCAGCAAATAGAGAACACCTGTCCTCCAAATAATTCCCCAAAGTCTATAGCTGATTCTCATTGGCCAGCTTGGGTCACAGTCCAGTCCCTGAGTCAGTCACTATGGCTGGGGAAGAAGGAATGCTGTAATTTGTGAAGCCTGGATCCCACATGCCCACTCTGGTGGCCAGGGGATGGTGTCACCTCTCCCCAAACCTCCTAGAATGAGCAGGAGTCAGGGGAGGGAGTGGTGTTTCACAAAGGGAGAATGGCTGTGGGAGGGAGCTGTGGTTTTTAACCAGATGTGATGGACTGGAGGCCGGACAGGCAGGGATCACACCCTCCTACCAGAGGTAGTTGTGGCCCAGCCAAGACCTTGGGCACGAACTGTGTGGAAACTTGGCTGGTATTTCTGACAAGTGAGGTCCCAGTCTCCTATGGGGGCCCCAGTTTTTCACTCTAGCCTGTTATTTCAGATTCTCCTGGGCTGGCTCGAGGCATCTTGCTTTCTAAGGAGCCCTCTCAAGTGGAATTTGCCTGTTTTTACAGAGGGGGGCCTGGAGGCTTAGCAAGAATTGGCTGAAGTTTCTTTGAGTGAGCTTTTTCCTCTACTGTGTCTAGGCATCCCTGCCTTATTCTAGTTAAAAAGAAAACCTCATGCATGAAAATGTTTTTAGGAAACTTCGCACCATACAGAAAGGCTTCCGCATGCCTCAGTTTCCTTCTGTGACAGGTGGAAATAATAATAGTCAAGATTCAACCCAGCACAGATCAAAAATATTTTTTAAAAAATTCCAGGGAATTTCCTGGTAATCCAGGGGTTAGGACTCTGTGCTTCCACACCCTGGGTTCCATCCCTGGTTGAGGAACTAAGATCCTACAAGCAATGCAGGGCAGGGAAAAAAAAAAAAAAAATCCTGAAAGTTCCAAAAAGCAAAATTTGAATTTCCTTGAGCGGCAAGCTATTTATTTACATAGCGTTTACATTCTGTTAGGTATTATAAGTAATCTGGAGGTGATTTCATGACTATAGGAAGATGTGAGTAGGTTATGCAAATACTAGGCCATTTTAGATAAGGAACTCGAGCACCCCCAGATTTTGGTATCCAAGGGAGAAGAGGGGACTTGGAAGCTATCACCGGCAGATACCAAGCCAAGGAGTGACTGTAGCACTGAAATTCTACCACCCAGTTCAGTGTGTGTACGGGATTACCCGAACACCGTGAAATTCCTGGACAGCAGCTGGAGTCCTCCCGTTCAGCTCAGTTCCCACCCTCCAGGACTTCCCTGGCTCTCTAAGTGGCGAAGACTCCGCCCTTCCACCACGGGGGGTGTGGGTTAGATGCCTGGTTAGAGAACTCAGCCCACATGCCTCCGGTGTGGCCAAAAACATAAAAAATAAAAAGACTAAAATTCCACAGGTTAAGGACTGCCCTCCAGATTCCAATCTTTTTTTTTTTTTTTTTAAGTTGAACTACAGTTGACTGACAATGTTGTGTTAATTTCTGCTGTATAGCAAAGTGATTCAGTTATATACACACACACAGACACACACATTCTTTTTAAAGCTATTTTCCATTATGGTTTATTATAGGTTATTGACTATAGACCTTGTTGTTTATCCATGTTATATAGAATAGTTTGCAGATGGCAGTCTTAAGTCCAGGTTGTTACCTGTGCTTCTGTCCAATTGGCTATAAATCAGATCCCTTCTTTGGGTTCAATTAATTTTGCTGAAGCGGCTCACTACTCAGGAACCCATTTACTCACTGGACTACCAGTTTATCATAAGAGCACGTAACTCAGGAATAACCACTCAGATGAAAGAGATGCAGAGGGCCAAGTATGGGCGGAGGTGTGTAGAGCTTCCACGCCCTCTCTGAGTGCCCACTCTCCCCAGATCTTCATTTGTTCCCTGATTTAGCAGCTCTCCCAACCCTGTTGTTTAAGGGTTTTATGTAGGCACGACTGATTAATTGCTTGGCCACTGACACCTGGACTCTGTGTCCGGGCCCTCTCCCTTCCCCTGAGGTGGGGGAGGACAGGGGTTGGAGTTCAAGGTTTCAGTGTTCTAATCAGGTAGCTGGTTCCCCTGGCAACCAGCCCCCATTCTAAGGTGCTTTCCGGAAGTTCTCTCACTGGACTTGCTCGGTGGCTCAGTGGATAGGAGTCTGCCTGCCAGTGCAGGGACACGGGTTCGATCCCCGGTCCGGGAAGATTTCACAGGCGGCAGAGCAGCTGGTCTCGTGCGCCTAGAGCCTGTGCCCACAAGAGAAGCCGCTGCAAGAGGCCTGAGCACTGCAACCAGAGGGTAGCCCCGCTCTCCGCAATTAGAGAGAAAGCCCACAGCAATGAAGATCCAGCGCAACCAGAAATAAATTTTAGAAATATTTTTTAATTACCTCATTCACAAAACAGGGGATTTCCTTGGCAGTCCAGTGGTTAAGATTCTGCACTTCCCTTGCAGGAGGCATGGGTTTGATCCCTGGTTGGGAAACTAAGATCTCGATGCCACGCGACCCCAAGAAAAACACAACAGGACACCTTTATTGTTTTCATCACTTGGGGAACTCTAGGGGTTTTAAGAGCTCTGTGCCTGAAATAGTGGACTAAGAACAAATAAATATTTCTTTTTTTAAGATTTTTTTGGATGTAGACCATTTTTTAAAAGATTTATTGAATTTTTTACAATATGGTTTCTGTTTCATGCTGGGCTTTTTGGCCACAAGGCATGTAGGATCTTAGCTCCTCAAACAGGGATCAAACCCGCACCCCCTGTGTTGGAAGGCGAAGTCTTAACCACTGGATCGCTGGGGAAATCCCTATATTTCTTATTACAGATCAGAATATCACCAGTACCAACATCCTGAGTTTGTGGTGGTGATGAGGGAGATGAGGCCAAAAGGGTGATATACGGTTCCTTAGCCCACCCCAGGATTTCTCAGCCTCGCTGGGGCAGAGCCTTCCCTGTGGTGGGCACTGTAAAGGGGGCTAAGCAGCATGCCTGGCCACCCCCCATTAGGTGCCAAGAGCTCTCTGTCTCCAGTCTGATACCCCATATTGTCTCTAGATATTGCCAAACCCCTGGTTGATACCTCCTGGCCTACAGCAGGCTCTCAATAATGGGTGACTGGGACCATGGTTATTGTCATCACTCACATCTTCACACAGATGCACCTGCATATACAAATCTGCCCCCCCCACAAGTACGTTTAAGCAGTGTACTTCACCATTAGGGCTTTCCAGGTGATGCAGTGGTACAGAATCCACCCGTAGTGCAGGAGATGCAAGAGATGAGGGTTTGATTCCTGGGTCGGGTAGATCCCCTGGAGTCAAAAATGGCAACCCACTCCAGTATTCTTGCCTGGAAAATTCCACGGACAGAGGAGCCTGGTGGGCTACAATCTATGGGGTTGGACGCCGCTCAGGCACTGAGCATGCGCTACATGGATTATCATGACTGCTGGAACAGTTGACTGCCAACGAGATATCTTAAAACAACAGAAATTTATCTGTACACAGCCCTGGAGGGCAGAAGTCCATAGTCACAGCGGAGCTGTGGCTCTCTCCAGAGCCTCTACGGGAGGGTCCTGGCTGTCCCTTCCAGCTCCTGGGGGCTCCAAGCCTTCCTTGGCGTGTGACTGCGTCACTCTATCCTCTGCCACTGTCCTCACAGGACTTTCTCCTTCCCTCTTCCTCTGTCCTTCCTCTGTGTGTCTTTTTAAAGGGCATTTGTCCATGGATTTCGGGTCTATCCAGATAATCCAGGAGGACTTCATCTTGAGATCCTTTACTTAATTGCATCTGGCATGACCCTTTTCCCAAATAAGGTCCCAGTCACAGTTTCTAGGTGTTAGCACAGGGACATACCTTTTCTGTGTGTGTGTGTGTGTGTGTGATGGTGGCAGAGTCACCATTTGGCCCTATAAACTACAGCTGCTTGTTTGTTTTTACGTTCACAGGAGATCACTGTGTTATCTGGTGCTACTGGTTTATGGAGGACCAGGTAACAGCCTTAGTGCCAGGCATCCAGTAGCAGATAAAGCAGCCCAGGAGCTTTTAATCACACAGGTCATTAAAAATTCTCCCTCAACATTATTTTAATAGCTGGGTAATATTTAGTAATTAATATAACCATTTTTCTATTATTGGGCTTGCTATTCATTTCCATGTTTTTTTTTCTTATTTTTATAAATTACATTGAAGTGACCATTGGCAGATTATTATCTCTTTGATTATTTTTAGGTTAGAAATTATACCTTGCCTTTTGCATCTGGCAATATGTCTTGAAGATTATTCCATACAAAATTGCCTTGACCATAGCAGCTCATAATTTATTTAGTCAACCCCCCTCCCCATGAATGGCCAATTATATTGTTTCCAGTATTGTAATGACAAAGCTCCTATGAACATCTTGGCATATTTCACACTCTTGCATGTTTCACCTAGCACACCTTTCTGTAAGAGTGATTGCAGGATCTATTCCAGCAGCAAGATGTCAGAAAGCACATAACTACCAGCAGTGCTCTGTGAGGAAACTGTCCCCTCCTTGGCCTGGGGGGTGCCCCAGTCCCACGACCAGACCTCATTAAGCTGTACCCATCTGTCTGCAGCTGGTGGTGCACGTAGGCGTGTCAGGCATGGCAACCGCAGTCACGCTGGAGAAGTGTGGACACAACAAGGGTTACAAGGGCCTGGACAACTGCCGATTCTGCCCCGGCTCCCACTGCTGTGTGGAGGACGGGCCTGAGAGCATTGACTCCATCATCGACATGGATGCTGTATGTGAGAGGGTCACTACACTGGGCTTAGACGTGTCAGTGACCATTTCACAAGATGCAGGCAGGTAAGGCACCATGGGGCCCCTGTGGTGTAGGTTGAATGGGGTTTCCCTCCTATCAGCCCAGGCTGAGTGTTGAATAAGCCAAGTGTGTTTGACTGTGACCTCTTTGGGCCAAGTGCTAACTTATTTATTTATTTATTTACTTTTGAAAAGGTCATTGATTTATCACTTGATGGACTATTTATTTATTTTTAATTTTTTTTAAATTGTGGAAGTGTGATAACACATTTACAGGAGACTTGGAGGATACAGAACAAGGTTACATATAATTCTACTATGTGTTAGTCACTCATTCATGTCCGACTCTTTGGGATCTCATGGACTGTAGCCCGCCAGGCACCTTTGTCCATGGAATTCTCCAGGCAACAATACTGGAGTGGGTTGCCATTCCCTTCTCCAGGGGATCTTCCCAATCAAAGGATCAAACCCAGGTCTTGCATTGCAGGCAGATTCTTTACTAACTGAGCCACTAGAGAAGCCCAGTTCCTCTATATATTACAATTATTTTTAAGTAGATAATTTAAGATTTTTAGTTGGAATTTCAATATCAAATCTTCAAAAATTAATAGAATGAATATACAGAGAAGTAGAAGGATATAATAGACCTGAAAAGCACTGTGAACCAATTCAGCATAATTAAGATTTATACAATTTTCACAGAGCAGTAGGAAACAAATTCTATTTAAGTTCCCATAGACTGTAAACTCGGAGACATTGGAACATATCCAGGGACATAAAACAAGGTACAAAAATTTCATGGTCTGAAGATATTGAAATCAAAGCACGGACTATTTAAATAGTATGGTTGAGAAGAGTCTGACATGACTGAAACGACTCAGTCATGCCCAACTCTCTGTGACCCCCTGGACTGAAGCCCTCAAGGCTCCTCCACCCATGGGATTCTCCAGGCAAGATTACTGGGGTGGGTTGCCACGGCCTCCTCCAGCTTTCTTCCTGACCCAGGGATCAAACAGCATCTCTTACATCTCCTGCATTGACAGGTAGATTCTTTGCCACTAAGCCACCAGGCAAGCCCAGCACACACACATAATATTTTATACAGCAAACTTTACATAGGATTTCACAGTATATAATTCTCAACATGCATAAGGCACACAGCTAAGTATATATTCATAACAGGTCCCATCTGCGACTCATGTGTGGCTCTGCCCACTTTTCCCACCCCGGGCCCCTGGCATCTCCTGGCCGTGGCTCCGGCTGCCTCCCTGCTGTTCGTCCTGCCACCTCTGCTCCAACCCTGACGGTCCTTCTCCCCTGAGAAGTCACTTTCTATATCAGTTTCCTGTGGCTGCTGTAACCAATCACCATGTTGGTGGCTTAGAACAACAAACATTTATTCTCTCCCAGTTTGGGGGCTAGAAGTTCAAAATCAAGGTGTCAGCAGGGCTGGCTCCTTCTGGAGGGCCTGAGGGGGAGTCTCAGACCCTCTCCTGGCTTCTGGTGGCCTCTGACAACCCTGAATGTTCCATGGCTTGAGATACTTTACCCCAAATCGCTGCCTTCATCGCGACATGGCTTCCTCCTGGTATGTGTCTTCACGTGGCCTTCTTACAAGGACACCAGTCATTGGATATAAGATATAAGGTCACCAGTGTGACCTCCTCTTAACCAATTATGTCTGCAAAACTCTGTCTCCAAGTCAGGTCACATTTTGATGTTCTAGGTGAACAGAAATTTGGAGGAGAAACAACTAGTCAGCCTATTAGAAAGTCTTTTACTAATTTAAGGCAGATGAAGTCCCTAACTTGCTTAATTCTTCCTGCAGTTCCCACTGCACCTCAAATAGAATCCCAGCTCTCCGCCATCCCCAGGCCCGTGTGCTCTGGCCCCTGTCCACCTCTGCAGGCTTCTCTGCCTGTAGCCTCCCCTCACCCATTGCCTTCCACACCCACAGCCCACTGTCCTCCTGCTCCTCTCACGCCCCAGGCTCACTGTAGCCTCAGGGCCTTTGCACATGCTCTGCCTCTGCTCAGAACTCACTTTCCGCTGATAAGACTGTTTCAGGTCTTAACTCCACATGCTGGCTGTTTGGGAAGGCCTCCCTGCCTCCCAGACTCCTCTGTTCTGTGCCCTCTCAATACCAAGTGCCTCAGTTTCTCAACACTGTGTACACCTCAGCAGCCCAAAGGCAGCAGGTAGCAAATTCAGTTGATGGAATGAAGAAGTAACTGAATTTACCATCTGTCTTTTTTTTTCTTTTTTTAATTGAAGTGTAGTTGACGTACAATATTATACATTACAGATGTACAGTACAGTGATTCACAATTTTAAAGGTGTATATACTCCATTTATAGTTATTATAAAATATTGGCTATATTCCCTGTGTTGTACAATATACCCTCTATTCTTTAGCTTATTTTATACCTAATAGCTTGTACCTCTTAATTCCCTACTCTTGCATTGTCCTTCCCCTCTCCCAGTCTTTTTTTAAAACTGACCTTTTTTTTTTTTGACTGGGCCACACACATTGCGGGCCCTGTCAGTGAAAGCCTGGAACCCTAACCACTAGGCCACCAGGAAACTCCTGAAGCTAATTTTAAGTTACTCGGATAATTCTGAAATATATTTTCATGTGTTCCCGTTGTGAAAAATTCCCTTGACCTCTCTCTCTCCCCGCCTCATTCCCTGCCAGGGAGCCCTCTGTTAAATCAGAGACTTAAATTGTGACACTTCCTTCTTAGCCACACGTGTTTCTATACAGTATAGGACACTTCGTGTGCTGCTTTTGCATTTTGTTCTGTTTCGCTTTGCTTTTATGATGGTGAGGTTATATGGTGTGGGTTTCATGAGAGTTCCCTTCCTTGGCCTCCTCTGTGGGCATGTGCTAGGGATCTTGAGTTCTGCCTTCCTGTCGATCCACCACATGCCTTGTAAACCACTGCGTGGTATCCCGCTGTGCAGACGAACCAGTTTATTAAGTCACTCCTCTGCAGGGGACGGCTTCCCTGTGGCTCAGCTGGTAAGGAATCCGCCTGCAATATGCGAGGCCCAGGTTCGATCCCTGGGTTGGGAAGATCCCCTGGAGAAGGGAAAGGCTGCCCACTCCAGTGTTCTGGCCTGGAGAGTCCATGGATTGCGTAGTCCGTGGGCCGCAGAGAGTCGGACACGACTGAGCCCCTTTCACACTCACTGTCAGTGGACATTAGGTGGTATCTTATTCTATTAGGCCTCTATAACCAAAAGAACCCAACTGGGTAGCTTGTAAACAACAGAACGTCATCGCTTATGATTCTGGAGCCAGGGAAGTCCAAGATCAAGGCGGCAGCCCGGTGGCATTCTGACGGGGCCTTCCTGCAGGGCGCAGACTGCCGACTGGCTATGTCCCCCACGGGGGGCGAGGGGCTTGGGAGGGGACCACCAGTGTTCCATTCTAGCCGTTTGCTTCCTGTTTTTCTGTTTTTACGCATCATGCTGCAGAAATACCTTGTTCATCGTTCCTCTGCTCTGGTGCACATGGTACCTGAGATAGATTCTAAAAACTTGAAACATCAGGTCATAAACTCTGTGCATTTGTAATTTTTTAAAAATTATTTTATTTTTTAAAATAAATAAATTTTTAAAAATAATTTTTAATTATTTTTTACTTTTTTTTAATTGATAGTTCTAAATACCTTTATTTTTTCTGTAAAGGGACACCAGTGCTCAGTAATTAGTTTCAGTATTTTATTTTGTTCTGGAATGACGCAGCTATTCAATCAACTTTCATTATATAACTTAATTTAGTACGACTCTAAAATTTTAAGTTACTAAGTATCTGGAGAGATTATTCTTAAGTAGACATTCCTAAACTAGTTATTCCCAAAGAGTTCACCCAAAAGCTCTTATTTCATTTACATTTAATTTAGTTATAAAAATTTCATCATTCCAAGTCATTTTTCTTGCTTATAAATTTGCAACAAACATAAGATCTTATTTGACTTCTATTAAACCTAGGTACAATAAAGGTGTTATACTTAATGTTGACTCTAAAGACATGTCTATATTAATTAAATCAATAAACTTTAACTCCAGATATTAATTTAATACTATTTCCCAGTTCACATGAACCTGAAATTCATTCTGGCCAGTTTTTCTTTTATATTTCTGAGAATTTATATAAGCACTTGATTTCCTTTAAGCCAATTAAATGGAGCTTATTTACAAATTGGGGCTTCCTATATGACTCAGTGGTAAAGAATCTACCTGCCAATGCAGAAGCCCCAGAAGAAGGGGATTTGATTCCTGGGTCGGAAAGATCCTGGGAGGAGGAAATGGCAGCCCACTCCAATGGACAGAGGCGCCGGGGTGGCTACCGTCCTTAGGGTCGCAGAGTCGGACACAGCCGAAGTGACTCAGCATAACACAGCACATTACAAATTAAATTTGATTATAACACCCAAAAGTAAAGACATTTAGTTGTACGTGTAAATATATAGACAGACACAACCAGAGATTTCATAGCTTCATTTCTAAACTTAGTCATGAATCAGGTATTACAAAATAAAGCTCATTAATTTATAACAGTTGGACTAAGTTAAATTTAAAAGATCTTTCTCTGCCCCCCTCCCCCCCCCCCC